AAAATAATTATAAATTAACACTCAGAAAGTGATTTATTCATTCAATTATAAATGTTTCATTGTTAAAAATCACTTAATGATTACTTATATTACCGAAAGTAATCAATAAATTTCTGATCACTTACACGCATACACACGCACACGCACACATGCACATAATCGATTATTGTTTTTTTCTTCTTTTCTGTTTTTTTTTCTTAATGTATACAAATATATAAGTATTGATTAGGTTTTTTGATGTTCAGAGTACAGTTTTAATACAACTGTCCTTATCAACAAAATGAACTCGAGAATTATATTTGTTGTTTATATGTGTGCGTGTGTATGTGTATATGTGTGTTTGTGTGTGAGAGAGAGTTAATGTACTTCAAACTTCATACCTACATAGATACATACACATAACTGATCAAATGCCAATTTCATATTGTACTTCTATTTATTATTTAAAGAAATTCTTGTAACTAGTTAGTAATAATATTTGTCAAATATTTTTTTGTTGTTGTGGTGTTGGTTGTTTATCATAATAAATTTCACCTTAGTAACAATATGGATAAATAATTAGTTCAATAAAAGTAGAATAAACTTAAAGAATTTTGTTTTTTTTTTGTTCATAAAAGTGATTTCATTTTTTTTTACTTATTTTCCTTTTACTAAAAAACAAAAAACAAAACAAAATGAAATTCAATGGTTGTACTTTATAATCATCATTCTTAATGTATCTCATATCTCTTTAAGTAACTAAATAACTAACCAACTGACTATCCATCTTCTTATCCATCGGTATGTGTATTAAAGAGGTTTTCTTAAATGGTTCAATATTGTTGATCTAAGGTAACTGTTTTTTTGTTTTTGTTTTTGTTATTCTCTATTGGAATGTGTTGATGTAATAATGTGCTTAATAATAATAATAACAATAGTGATAGAATGTAACTATTTGACAATGTCACATAGAAACTATTCTATATTCAACTATATACATCAATATAAAACAAATAATGATTATTAATTAGTTTCTGCATAGTTTTCTCTCATAAAGTCTTTCTTTCTTTCTTTTCTCTTTCTTTTTTTCTTATTATTTTTAGTTTAATGATGTATCATTTAGAAGTGGAGGGTAAAAAAAAACATTTAAACATGATAAATACTACGATGTAATTATACTTGAATGGTTAGAAATTAGTTAGCAACAATGGAACTCAATGTACATTATGAATAGTTGTTACTATGTGAGACATTGATAAAAAAATCCGTAATAGAACGGAAAATTATTGATTGTATTGAAGTTCTTATTAGAATCATAGTTGTTCTGTAAATGTCACTTAACAATATTGTTTTCGATTAGATCCTTATTAAACTGTACTCTAATATCAGGTTAGGTCAGGTTCAGGTTACGCCTGTTACTCCTCGTGAAGGGCATAGGCCACTCACCAGCATGTACTCTAATATACAGTCATATATATATATCCATTTTATGAGTCAATGATAATAACAATGAAATAAATTACATAACTAAACAACAACAGTTAGTAAGAAACCTCTCTTCATAAAGCTGCAATTCAATGAACGTGTAACTGGTGATATGCTACATGATAGATTGACTAGAGCGGTGAAGAGAATGTTTATTGTTTCACTTCAATATACAGTCATATTTATTATATGCATATATGAGTCAATGATAATTACAGTGAAATAGATTACATAACAAAGTGAAAAATACAAATTAGTAGTGTGATGACAAGTGTACTAGTTGTGATAAGAATAATAAAGGTTTGAATCAATGTTACATAATGAGAAATAGGGTCAGTGATTAGGAAAAATAGAGACACATCCATAAAAATTACAAGGTTACGTAATAAGAAGTGTTCAGATAATTAGACAATGAAACGTATATTTGAGAGGAAATAAACCGAAATGGTAGGAGGGGTGAACAAAAATAAACGAAGAGAGAGCACGGAGTACTGCTATCATCACACTACCAATGTTTACTTTTCATTTATTTCTGTAATCTATCCCACTGTTATCATTGGCTGATAAGCTACCTTGATTGCTTTAATTCATTTCGTATATGCATATAAATACATTACTGTATATTAGAGTAAAGCCTAATGAGGATCCAATCGAAAACAATATTGCTCGCTTATATAATTATTTTAATAGTTGAAATTATGAGTTAATTGAAACAAGACCATCATGGAAAACCTGCAACCACTGGACGGCCGTTTCGTCCCAACGTGAGACTCCTCAGCAGCGGGCACCAACGATCCCGCCCCGTGAGGTTCCGACCCAGGATTTATCAGTCTCGAGCGCGACCGCTTAATCTCTAGATCACTAAGCCAACATTCACGGTGTTAATGTCTAACTACAACGAATCCACTAGTCGCTTATATATGTTGTTTTAAATAACAATATGGGGATTTTTCAAACGTCAGTTATCATAAGTGTCTGAATCTTAGATGAGACTAAATATAACCATTGTACATTCAACATCTCGTTAATATTAATTACTGTATGATCATCGAAGTGTTCTGTTCATAGATAGAATAACTTTGATAACAGTAATTTTCATCATTCACAGTTGTTTTTCAATTAATAATGAAGTTGGACAATAACACCATTGGATAACGGTTCAGTGGTCTACATGTTAAGCGTCCGCGCATGAGGCCGAGAGTCCCGAGTCCGAATCCCATGTATGGGATCGTGGATGTGCAGTGTCGACTAAGCGTCCTATACTAGAACGAAGCGCCCGCCCACTGCTTCCTGGTCCCCAATGGTGGTCTAACATTCATCCATCCACCTTACCAGTCAAAGAGAAAGCACGAATATATATATTAATGAGCTGAATAAATGACCATTTTTGGCAACTAAGTTGATTGGCCAATATTCGAAGGTCATTTTATCGAAGACACACCCACGTATTTATTTTTTGTAAGGACTGAATTTTGATTGGCCGTTTATTTAATACAGATGACGAATTGGTCTAATCAACAGGATTATCTTCATGTACAATCTATAACGTTATTTCTGATTTAAAACTTTTATCGATTGATCGATCGATCAATTGATTGATTGATTGATTGATGACTATAACCATTGTTTCTAAACTCGATAATTATCAGTAATTATTTACGCTTTCTGATAAGGATGGGAAAATTCATAGGATAATTACAAATAAATATTTAGAAGGAAAACTGATTGACGAAATAGTTGAGATCATAGTCTATGAACAATTCAGACAGATTTAAGATATCAGAATAGGGTTTTGAAGATTGTTGAGTTTTAATTGAGATCATAAACTGATTGATGTTAGATTAGCATTGAAAACCTAGAAGCGCTGAATGGCTGTTTCGTCTTAGTACGGGACTCTTCAGGGGTGTGCATCTACGATCCCGTGCTCTTGATTCGCATCGAGGACCTTCAGTTTCGCATGCGATTAAAAGTCTTTGATTTTGGCATGAAATCTATTCATTTGTTTAATCAAATTGCATTTTAATACTATAACTGATGTCAATTCGTGATAAAAAACCTAAATCAAATTTCTAACCATAACTTCTAGCTCTAAATTTTAATCATAAATCGTCGCACTAATTTCTAAGCCACTTTTGACTTTAGTAGGTAGGTGACATTATCAAATTTATTCTGGAGATGTGGGGCGGATTAAATACAGTTGTCTTTGGGTGGAAGTATTATCAGTTATATTGTTTGAGTTATACATTAGGCTTGGGGAGCTCGATCGGACTCCATATCCCTGAATCCGCTTGTTAAATGTCTTAGTTTTGAACACTGTGTAACATCAGTTGGTACTCGAAATCAATCCATCAGGAACTCAGTAGTGGTGATTTTTGCACTTTTTGACTAGTGGGGAGATAATTATACTTCACCTTCATTAGCGTCAGGATTGGAAATTTCAGTCTTTTTGTTGAACACATTAACATTACGTGATTAACTCAAAGATTGATCCGTGGTGGTGTGATCGTTTATATATACTGCTGATTAGTCTCACACAAGGATGAATAGTTGATCCAATACATCCAAGTCTTCAATAGTGAACTAACACTGTGATATGATGGGAAGAAAAAAAATCAATTTCTGATTGATTTACTCATTATGAGTTTTATTCAACATTACATCCATTCTAATTCAATGTGATAACCATTCACGGTAGTATTTGTGTTCTTTTGTCGGATGATATTTTATTCTGTATAATATGCCAGATATACTTGTATTCCATTGACACGAACTATAATCAGTCTGTGATTTAATCCTAATTATCAATCAAAAATGGATGTAAAATCAATATATAAACCAGTGTATTTTAGACTGTTTTGATTATCGTTCGTCGTCGTGTTTTTGGGGATAATAAATCTTCAATTATACCAGTCTTTCTGTTCTTACTTCGCATCGTGGGAATTGCAGGGGTCCCTTGCTCCTAGTATAAGTGATCAGCGGCTTTTTCCGGCACAACAATTGGCGACGACTCAATATAACACACTGATTGGTTCAGGATTTCAGTGAAATTCAACAATCTCTACAACCCTATACTGATAAGTTTTCTTGATTGTATGAAGATTGTGCTATAAACAAATTTCATTTATCGAGATAACGGTCAGACCTAGGCTAGAAAACCATTGAAAACCTGGTGGAACTGAAAGATGGTCATACAATATCACGAACTGATTGAAGTTATGCTTACACACAATTAAATCTTGATTTAGTGGTCTAGAGATTCTGCATTCACATGTGGGACCTAAGGCCCTGGGTTCGACTCCTGTCCAAAGGCTTATTGGAAAGCAGAGCTGAGAAGTTCTATACTAAGATGGAACATTCTTTCAAGGCTTTCATGTTTTCAATGGTTGTCTAACTTGAGTTGATTTATCTTTACAATCTCTAAACCCATTAAAATCATCTTTTTCATTTGAAAACGAACTATTTCTTGAACGTTTCAGTATCTTAATCAATATGTATATTATATAATATTTAATTTATTCCCTTTTACATTAAACTAGTTGCCAACAATTTGCTTAATGACAAGATACGATTAGTTGATGGAAATCAATTGGCACATGTTCTATTAAATACAAATAATTTACAAAATCATCATCATCATCAACTCATAGCTAAATCTGTGATTGGTTCACCCTACTTAAATATTGATCCTAATGGATTACCGACAAGTATTCAATTTCCAGCTGAACCAGTCAGTGGATTGTTTTTAACTCCTGCCATATTGGAACAAACGAATAATTTATTGGATCAATTCAATACATTTGGTTGTCCATGGAATTTAACAGCATGTGTTTCAGGTAATTGTAGACAATTATATTGCATGTGTGTGTGAGTGTGCATGTATTTTTGTATATTAAAAAACAGATAAGATGCTTTAATTATAGTTTACATTGAATTTGCTATTCGGAATACATTTGGTTGAATAGCTTGATGTTGTATGTACTTGAACATTATCACGTTACTTCATTCTAATCAACCGAGTTCGGCAGATTAGTTCTAGTAAATATTAGTTCTCTTAGAGATTAGTTTAAAGACCTCTCAGTCAAGATCGATATCCATCTGTGGTAGGAATATCAGCGTAAGTCATAAACAGTCGGATACAATGAACATAGACTAAAAATGTGTTACATGAGGCGAGAACTCAATTGAGTATCACATGAAGATCATTTCATACTATTAATGATAAAAATATTTTTCTCATAGATTCACTCAGATTCACATCCGCTGTTTTAGCCATAATGATTAATGCTGGAATGTGTCATCTTTGAGAAATATCAATATCGACATAAACAGTTTACTTTTGAGACAGAAATCCACAGTCAGGTTGTATACTAAAACATTCAAATTAGATTCTTTGGATCAAACAGAAGTCATTTCACACAATGTTTGGTGCATATAGAATATTTTCGATTGATGATATCAGCTTATGATTAGAAAAAGTAATTTATACTTTTTTGATGGAGTTTTGTTCTCTGAGTTAGATGGTTTGGTCGTGGAGCTTTCGTCGTTCTTCTGGACGACATCATCAACACAAACTGATTACATTCACTAATCTATCAGTGGCTCGTATTCATCCTGTATTTTTTTCTTATTAAAGTGAGATGAATATTAAGGAAATGTGACTTTTGAGATTGTCATATGAAAGATTTCATATACATACTACCACTACTTCATCCGCTTGTTACTCCTCGTGGAGGAGGATAGGCCGCCGACCAGCATTGTCGTCTCATTACTCCATATTTATTACCAATTAATTATTGCCTCATTAATGTGATTTTCTGAATAAGTTGCTGTGTGATTAGACATTTCATGTATATTGTTGTTGGAATTGTGAGTCATAAGTGAACTAAGTCTAACAGAGAAGTGATCTGCTGTCTATCTTCATCTCTTGGGTAAACACTGATTTAGAAGGAGCTTTGGGATGACTAGATGTTACCATGTTGGTTGTTCTTTACTGGTCGATCTGTCGATTAATGAGTTAGTCACTGATTTAACTGAAAAACGGTGAATTAGTCGACACTTGAATAACAAAAATAGAAAGAGAGAGTGATCGTACAACTATTTTATTGCCGTTACATCCCGATCACATGGGACCAAATTTGAACTCAACCAAACAGTCTGTTGTTTTTCCTAACGATAACGTTTTCATACAATTTGGTTAAATATGAAGCTTGTAGATACGTTTATCTGATAAATACAAACTCATGCAAAACCTCGGTGAATCAGTTCAACCATTTGTTTTCATTAAAAATCAGTTCAACATTTATGATATTCCTTTCATTGCAGTTAATAATTCCTGTCCATTATCAATCTTCAGTTTGGATCAGACTAATAGAAATTCACCGATTAATAACGCTAACCTTATTGTGTCTGATACGTCAAAAAAAACTGACATGTCAGTCAAATAGTATTTTAAAATTTTAATTCATGAGTCAATTAAAACTAGACCACTATGGAAAACCTGGAAGCTCTGGAATGCCGTTTCATTCCAGTATGAAACTCTTCAGTAGTGCACATCCATGATCCTGCACCGAAGGGACTGGAATTCAGGCTGACCGGCATCCAATGGTGTTAATCTCTAACTTCAATTTAATTCACGAAATTGTGTTCAATGAGCTACCATCTCAAAACAGATGCGATTGAACTCTACTGGTCACTGCTACTCACTAGAACTCCAGTAAATACCTCTTGAAACCAGTTACTCGTGAGTACATGATACTTATTATCCCAGGAGTGGGATCGTGAATGCACACTGCCACTGAGGAATCCCATACGGCCGTCCAGTGCTTCCAGGTTTTCCATAGTGGTCTAACCTTAATTGACTCATGAATTCAACTATTAAATTACTACAATCTTCACAGAAAACCCCTTTTGAAAATAGTATTTTATTGAATTGATTTAAGAATTAAGAAAACAAGTGTATTTACCCCTTTTACTCCACTAATTTATGCACCAAATCCATAATCATACAGAAATCTGTATGAATTTTATTGTTTATCCCATTAATACCAATTGTTTGACCCAGTCAGATTACATAATTGTGTTTAGATCACGTAATCATCAACATTACTGTTAATTAACTAAGAAGGGGTTTAACAGAAATGTCTGGACTTGCTAATATAATTTTAAATGTACCATATAATTTAATATCATTTAATCTAATGTATAAAAGAAGAAATGCTCTGTCTAGGTATTGACTTTATAAAGAACTTGGTATTTTTAGTATGAGATTGTAGAGATTGGTAAATTTCAATGAAATCATGTATTATTCAATGTTAGACTACCATAGGAAACCTGGAAGTAGTAGATGGTCATTTTGTCTCATTACGGGACTTTTCAGCAGTACATATCGACGATCCCGCAATGTCGTAGATTGGTTCAAGTTAAACATTAACACTGTTGGATGCCAGCTCAGTGATTCAGAAGTTAAACGTTCACGTGCAAGACCGAATGTTCTGTGTCCGAGATTTGCATATGGGATAGTAGATGTGCACTGCTATTGAAGAGTCCCATACTAGGACGAGACAACTGTCGAATTCTTCCAGGTTTTCAATGATCTCAATCAAAAACTGAACAATCTCATCTTGATATTTTAATATCCCACTTATTATTATTATTATTATTCATTCATTATATAGGTGAATTTACTATTCGATTTGGTTTATTACCTGAACAAACGATACCAAATTCTAAAACTCATATCCTTAGCTTTATAGCTTCATATTTTAATAATCAAGAAAAACTACCATGGTTACTTGAATTTTATATTTTCACTGATAATTTATTAATTATTAATTGGAATCAATTATCCAATAAATCAATATCCAATATTATTATTCCATTAACAATAAGTCAATGGAATATTATAGAAACAACAATTAATTTAAAAAATAATCATCTCATTGTCAAGAATAATAACCAACAATATAAATCTAATAATATTTCTAATGATAATCATGAATATCCATGGATACCAATGGTTACTATGCATAAAATGGAATCATTCAAACAATTTATTGGTTTATTATTTGGACATGCAACCCAATTACAAATGAATACGAATCAATCAATTATTAATTTTGCTCTAAATCATTTCTATATTGAATCATCTGATATAGTGAAATATCGTAAACCAAAAGATTTAATGAATGTATTAGATCAAATACCAACTAATCCAATTAAATATATATCATCAGTGAATTTCCCTGAAGGAAGTTTTGTACGTTATGATTTTATGAATCGTTTACAAAGAACTGTTGAAGAAGAAGTATTAACCATTAATTTTACATTACCATTTGGTGTTACATCGGGTTTATTATGGTTTAGTGAAAGTGATCAATCAAAAAGTTATGTATATATAAAGGTAAGTAAGTAAGTATAAAGGTTTATCTAAGTAATTGATAGTCGAGTTTGTAGGAGAGCCCCTCATGGGCTACTGCCTACTCCAAGTCTGGATAAAGGAGGAGGGTAGGACATGGGGTTGGTGACTCCATCCTGTGGAAAACTAACTTGCTGAAAAAAACGCTAACCGGAATAAATACTTATTAGTATTGATTCTCTGTAATTTCGATGGAATTAATAGTCTTAAATGGATTCGAACTTAGGTCAGTTAGTTTTACAGTTTAGAATGTTATCATTGAGATATTCAAACTGCTACTGACTTCCTGTGAGAGTTATTTATTTATTTATTTATTTGAATATATAAACATTGGTACAAGGGTGCACCAGATACATATGCGCCATACAATAACAATGAGGTTAAGAAGAGATAGAGAATGTAAAGTGTGTATAATAAAAAGAAAAAAAAACAACGAACAGAAATTTGTGTATGGGAGAGAGAAATACATCCAGGAAGAATTATTACAGTTAAAGAAGTTATGTTCATTTCTATGAAGAAAGTTAAAGCTACAACAGGATCACCACTGCCATCTATTTTGAATAATGTCTGACAACGTCTCAAATTACTGCATTGCACCATCCGCAGGACCTCAACCAGGGAGTCGTGAAGGACCGATAGAAGCCAGTCCTGTACAGCTTTTTTTCATACCACGACACCATGTCATACACTGACCACCTCTCCGCTTTTTCCAACCAATTCCAGGGTGGAATTCTCTGGGACGACATTTTTTAGACGTGCCCAAGCTAACGAACTAGGTGTTTCAAAATGATAACACCAATTAAATTTTCGTTTCTGTGCCAGAACACACGATGCCGAATCTCTACATTACTAAACATCCTCAACTCGGTGAGGTTTGGTTTCACCAGCATGGGGCAAAACTGCTCTTACCAACGCGTTATAGATCTGACTTTTTACAGCCAGACTAACATCACAAAGGCACCAAATACGGTCCAGATTGGTATAAGCCGATCTAGCTTTTACTATACATGAATTAATCTCATCACTCACGCCACCACCAGCACTAACGCAGCCACGTGGATACATGAACTTCTCGACTACTCCTATCTACTCACTACTCAGAGTGATTTCCGGACCAAGGTTCTACCAGTCTTGTAAGGTAGGACTGAAATATTTACAGTTGACTGATCACTAAGCATTGATCAGTGTTACGTTTGTTCAGTCCTTAGTTCTGATCATTTCAATCTTGATCAAAGTAATGCTCCTTGGTGGATTTAAACGTGAGTCATCCGGCACTGAGGACTGGTCGAACATGACACTGTTCAATATTCAGTTATTATTAATCAAACAATTCTCCTTATTTTATCTAGCCAGTGTCTAAGTAAATCTTTAGTCACGATAAGTGTAAATTGATGTTTTCTAGGGTTTGAAATTCGAACTCTTGATGACTATTACTGCAAGAATAGTAAATACGTACTGTCCTCTAGAGGAAAAGATAGTTAACATACACAGATAATTATGTTGAATTACAGTAATATACGAAACAATCTCAGTCAGTCAGCTACAACGTAGGACCAGGAATATATTTACATCGATCCAAGTTGCCATACCTCACTCATTAGCACAACAAGATGAACACCGGATTCATAGAAGTAGTTAATTCAGTGGTGGTAATATATAAAAGAAAGATTGTCTATAAGGATATAGTACAGGAAGAAAGAATTAGTTGGTAGAAAGAAAGATATGAGGCGATTTTAATCTCTTAGTTTAAGAGAAGACAGAGAGTGTATACACTGACGTCATTGTGATCGATTCTCAGCCATGTCATCCAGAGTCTTCAACTATTGGTTTCGACAGTCACGCGGAATCCAACCGAGTAGTCTGTATCTACCAACATGGCTCAGACTAGAAGTTAGTGACTTTATGGACTGATGCCACATTTTGGTTTAGCCACTCCTAACTTTCTTCTAACCATCCCCAACACTAGTCAGCATTGCACGTCGTGGTATTCGGTGTTCAGACATACGTAACACGTGACTTGACCATCTCATTCGGTAAAGATTTACAACCTCATCAACTGATTGACCATCATCATTCCCTAATACCCTACGTCTAACCTCACTATTACTTACCCGATGATTCGAGCAGATGCGAGCAATATTTCTAGGACATCTGTGGTCAAATACTAGTAATTTACGGGTATCTTCTACTCTTAATGGCCATATTTACAAGAAAGATTACAATGTTCCTAACATAGTGCATAGTGGCATTAAAATCCAGGATGCTGGCTTTGTCCTATTTGGAGCTTGTCAACTACGTATACCACGATCCAAGTATTATTGTTCATCACGCAGACATCCAGTTCAAGAACTTTCCACATCAGACACCAACGCGTTATACTTCTATTTTAGAGCTAGTGTTTTAGCCAGCCTGATTCAGCATAATTACTACAAGTGTAAGATGAATGGAAATTATCAAAGGGTAACAGTAACCATGACAACATAAACTATTTTCAAAACTACCTTAAATATCATTTGCTAATTATAAATTTCATTTCTTTTTTTTTTTCTTTCTTCATTTAACAATTCAAGAATTCATTACTCTATTATATATATGCAATTACTGATCAAACTGGTAAAGCACAACGTACAGTAACTGAAGAGATATTTCTAAATTCATCATTAATTCCAGAAAAACCGCAAGTTTTACAACTTATTCGAGATCGAGATAATGTAAGTTGGAATTAGTTATATACATATATGCTATTGTAATTAAATTATTATAAGTATGAAGTTGTGGAGATTTGTTAAGTTTTTGTGTTTTGAGATCATGAATCGATTGATGTTAGACTACCATTGAAAACTTGGCAGAATTGGACGGCCTTTCCATCCTTATTGTGGAATTCCTCAGTGGCAGTGCGCATCCATGATCTATGCTCGCGGGACTCGAATCCAGGGCCTTATTGTCTCTAAAGAAATTCCGATGACAGTGATGATTGCCATAATGTATAAAATCGAATACACCAAACATGAAATGAATTAGAATATTCATTTACCTAACTCCTTGAGCCTTCACGATGACCTTGAAGGTAGTTGTTGTTTGATTTTACTACATAAAACTTCAAGTTATAGGGAGGTTAAAGTCCCTCCAACAAAATCATGCATTTGATCTACAAATCTTCTCCACTATACGAATATAACAACAATACCGGATCCATACTATATAACTAAGGAGATATTCGTGGAAAAGTTGCTCAATCTGATCTACAATGAAACAAATAGTTTGTTATAGGATATAAAACTGATTACTTGTCGAAGAGGAAAGTTGTTTCTGAAAAAAACTTCGAATGATATTCTGCATACAACTTATAACATGTCTTTATTTGACCACACTTGTCTTTCTTTCAGTTGAATTCTATACCATGCTACATTGTTTATTAAGGTAGGGAATGGTTTGGCATATGTCATAACCATTTCAATCGATGAATATTAGCAGTCTCATAAACCGATTGGTTATTTCAGATAAATCTTGCTAAACGAATGCCCGATCTGTTTTCCTAGCCTCTTCTAATAACCGTAAGCCAAATCTACGCGGCGAAGTAAACATAAGAGAAAAGGTTAGTTAATGTACGGAAAAACTAGGGTCTGTATAATATTACAGATGACCTTAGGCTTCTGGAACCTTATTAAATATAGAAGCGGCATAGAAAATATTTAATCAGAAATGTGACACGTGACTCTTCACATTCTAGATGTTTCTGAGAGGGTCTGATCAATGCTGATTGGGTAAAATGTTCCCCTAGTGTTTTCTGGGTTCCTATAGTCTTTTCTGAAGAATACTTTGGGACACCTTAACAATCTCCTCCATCAAACTTCATTTATTGATTGATCAGGGTGCATTCTAGCATACTGCTTCATTAAACTAATTGTTTAATTATGACTGATATCCTCAGATATGACAATGTTCTTCATGTAAATTCTATACTACCTATGTGCTTTACAAATCTATAGTATCCGACTTCCTTACTCAATAGATCATTAGTGATATAGTAATGGTTTTTCAGTCCATTGTATTCTCAATACATTTGAATAATACAAGGTAGTTGTAGTTAATTCCAGATTTTTACTGTTTGTATTTTGATGGAGTATTGTTCTCTAAGCTGGATGGTTTGGTCGTGGAGCTCTCATCGTTCTTTTGAACGACATCACAAGCACAAACTTTAGGTAGACTTCTACCTGTTTAGTTGTTTACAAGTAGAATTCTACTTGAAGTTTGTGATGATGATGTCGTTCAGGAGAACGATGAAAGCTATATGACCAAACCATTTAGCTCAGAGAACAAAACTCCATCAAAATCATCCATTTGAGCTACAAATCTTCTCCACTGTTTGTATTTCATGCTGTTATTCAACCCGTAAGATCTAAAGTTAATTTCAACCTTTTTATTTTCAACTTTTTTACGCATTTGATATGTTCACTGTAGTTGACAATTACACTTGATCATCGTAGCCAAGCAAGTAGATCAATCGCTGGTCGAGCACCTTTAGTGTCGACTGATGGAAAAGTTTATCTTGGTGGGTCAGTTGATCCAATCAAAGATACTGAAGGCAAAGTCGATAGAACTTTTGAAGGACGTATTACAAAGGTAAGTTGTTTGTTTACAAAAAATTGAATGTTTTTCAATAATTTTCTGTTAGACATATCAATGTAGTGCAAATTAAGCGTCTACAACATTACTACTTCTCTTAACATCAATCAATTGTGTTGTGTTGAGTGGTATTCGACTATAGTGCTGATAAATCAGGTTTCTGTTTGCTAACTCATCCGGCTGTATGAACGAGAAGACTGAGGATGAGAAGAAAATTGTTTTCTAACCAAGTGAATCGAGAATTAACTACACGCGTATACATATATAAAATTTAATAGTTGAAATCATAAGTCGATTGAAGCTAGATCACCATAAGAAACCTGGAAGCACTGGACGACGTTTCGTCCTAGTATAGGACTTCTCAGCAGTGCGCATCCACTATCCCGCCCCCCGCGAGATTCGAATCTAGGACCTGCCAGTCTCGCGCGCGAGCGCTTAACCATTAGACCACTGAGCCGGCATCCAACGGTGTTAATGTCTAACTTCAACCAACCCACGAAATTGAGTGACACACCCACCACTATCTTCAGTGAGTTGCTATTTCACAACAGATTCTGTTGAACTCCACTGGTCCCTTAGAGATTTAAGCCATATTTCCCATCAATAGTATATTTTTCTTTAAAAAAGAAAGATGTGTCAGGACCCACCGCGTATGCTTATCATTTGACTGATATCTGATTGGCTTATCGCATCATAGTATTATGCTCTTCATTCGATTTAGTTGATTGAGGCTGAATTAATAAGAGTTAAATACTAATCAAAAGTTTATTTTTCATTTGAGAGCCAATTTTGATGATGGTCAGGGATATGTCAATCAGCTCCATGTAAATAGGGAATAAAGTGGAAGTTACAACATGATCCTTCAGTTCATTGTGTTGTCAATTAAAGTCTACTGGTTTAACTAAATCAAGAACAACGATTATGCTGGTGGGCGGTTTATGCTCCTCCACGAGAGTAAGTAAAAGAACAACGATTATGGAAGGGGTCATGTACTAGAACAAAACAGTTGTCTAGTGCTTCTTAGTTTTCAATGGTTCTTTAAGATCAATCTGTGATATTAATCTTACCATTTAGTAATTGCTACAATCCATTACAGTAACATATTTTATTGACAGAACTAATTTAGTTTCAAAACATTTACAGTTGTGATTGGTAGAATGAGATAGAGAAGAACATTCATCACCGTCATATGATATACCATGAGAAGTTAAAAGAATAGAATTTTCTTGAAAATGAGTTTTTACACTATGGACTGACTTTAGTTAGATAACCCTTTAATATCAGCAAGGATTAGGGACCCATTTCATCCCAGTATGGATTTAAGCAACGTTGTCTATCGACGTCCACATTAACAGTTAAACTCGCGACTATTTAGCTACTGAGTTGGTATCCAGTGGCTTATATCTCTATCTTCAGTCAATTTCCAATATATATTACATAATGGAATTTTGCTAAATATTGGTGCAGATCTAGAATACAGTGGACATTTGTTTTAACGTTTTATGGAAATACTGAATAAGTGTGTTAACACAACCATGTCACGGATGGAACTCATTATCTTCCTGTTGAGTGGATTATCTTCATACTATCGGTTTCACATTCAACAATCCCAATTCACAAGATATTAGATCACCATCATTAATTCCAATCAGTAACCATAGTTTCATTCTCCAGTACAGTAAACTCTTAGTTTTACATAAGTTCTACATATTTATGACTTCTTTTATTAACCAATTATATATGATCCTTACATAAACATCATTTTAATAGTTGAATCCATGAATGAATTGAAGGTAGACCACCGTGAAAAACCTGGAAACACTGGATGACCTTTTCGTTCTAGTTCGGGACTCCTCAGCAGTGCGTATTCACGGTCCCTCCTCGCGAGCGCTTAACCACTAGACCACTGAACCGGCCGTCCAGTGCTACCAGGTTTTCCATGGTAGTCTAACTCCAATTGATTCATGGATCCAACTATTAAAATTACTATAATATCCACAAAACCTTTCTCTGATTATAAACATCATTGTTAGAGATGGATGGACGTTAGCGATGAAATTTAGGATGCACGTTCCATCCTTTTTGGCACTTGTCAGCTAGATACACCACCATCCCAGAGTTAACATTTACTCCAGGAACCAAACTTGATACCATTCAATTCAAACACCATCGAGTTATCCACTTAGCTACTGAGTCCAGATAGTCACTAGTTTGCTTGTATAGGCTTTTTGAACCTTTCCAATGTCAAATAATCATTGAATTAACAATCTCTTATTGATTTTTTTAATTACTTTCTATCTTCATTTACAATCTATCAACCTATCAATTCCTTAAATCTAGGCTGAAATTACAAGAAAAGGTGATAAAGATGTTAATCTTTTAAATGTATTAATTGATCCTAATTGGAAAGATTCTATTCAACCAACTGGTATTACAGATGTTAGATTTCGTTTACCTAAAGCTCAACTTATTATTGGACCAACTTCATCAAATAAACGTTTTACATCATTAGAATCAGAATTTTCACGTATACCAGTACCGATTACATTTATGGGTACAGATGATTCAATTGTACGATTTGATACATGGAATTTTGAATTATATAGATCATTTGAAATTAAATTTTCTACTTATGAACCAAATGGAATATTATTCTTTGTGTAAGTTGTGAATGAAATTGAATTCACGTTTTTTTTTCGTTTTTTTTCCTTTAAATGATGAGACTATCATTTATGGATCACGCTTTGAACGATACCTTAGTGACATTCGTAATGTCCACCTAGTAACTAGAATGTAATAAGGATTATAATATACAGTTAATGGTTAACGTTAGAATCTTCATCAAGAACTGACATCAATTAAATGTCAAAACTCTATTTAACCAAATAAATGACTGAATTTCGCGCCAAAATCCCAGACCTGTTATTCTAAACCTGATTGGTTCGTTCATAAATTATGGTCTCACCGATTTTTCATTGTTCAAAATTTAATTCGTTTATATAATGAAATCTGATATGTTCGTCAACGACAGTTCCTTCCTTGTTAACGTCCTTTTTTTTCATCACAGATTGGTGTATTTGATTATACGATAGTATTTGTCACCGATATAAATTACCAGCTATACCTAAGATAAAATACAAGTTTATTGTTATTACGCTTTAGATCGTTGAGTAAGAGTCTGATAGTTGAAATTCCGACGTTTCTTTTTTTACTTCAAAATGGGTCAAAAACATATGTTACAATCAAAAGATAAGTGTAATAGACATACATCAAGACTATTCAGTCATGCATATCAGCCATATCCAAACTTTACATTGTATTAAGATTGCTATTTCAAAATGATATCTTAAAGTGATATAGAATAATGATGTATATAAACTTAATCTTGAACAACAATTTCATTTGGGTGTAGAATTGTTCAACAAATGCCCTGGTACGGTTAAGTGTAAGGAGAGTTAGCTCTTCCTCTCAAAATGCTCTCACATGGCCATGCGTATACAGCCACTGCCAAAGAATTCCTACTCACTACCTTCTCATGGCGGGGGTGTTGTTTATGAAATTAAGAGGACAGAAAGTGGATGTACGGTGCTCTAACCGGGATGGTGAACATAGAGGATTCATCTATAGGAGTAAGGAAACCTTGATTCCAAACCATATGGGCTCCAGGATCCTGAATGAACAAATGGCGTATGAACCAGTTGTTGGTCACCGGCTGCCATTGGACTGCATCTCCTTATGTTGCTTAACTACCTTGTGGATCAGACCTTGATATCGAAGGCTCCGGATGTTCCTTTCCCCTAAGAAAACCACGTGCTTCGGCTTGGTCACCTGGGCAGTATCATAGCCCTCACACAAATAGAATGATTTATGTGGCGCATATCTATTAGGTGCCTCCTTGTACCAATATTTATGTGTTTAAATAAATAAATAAATGAACAACACAACTATGTGGGATAAATTTAAGTTTCATCCAATGCTAATATGTGATAGTCTACATTTTAATAATGATTTATAGTGTACAGTAGGTTATGAGTATTGTACATTTTTACGACTAGCAAGAATTTACATAATTCATGGACCTAGCGAAGCTGGGTATTTAAGATGGTGGAGAAGATTTGTAGCTCAGGTCGATGGTTTTGATGGAGTTTTGTTCTCTGAGCTGGATGGTTTAGTCGTGGAGGTTTCATCGTTCTTCTGAACGACATCGAATACTTTGCTTCTACCTGAGGTTTGTGCTGATGATGTCGTTTAGAAGAACGATGAAAGCTCAACGACTAAACCATCTAGCTCAGAGAACAAAACTCCATCAAAAGCTCGTTATTTGAAATCGTAAAATCCCCAATAACTGTTCACTCATCTTGACCACCATTTTGATGCTGATTGAACTCTGTTGATCAAAGTCTCAATCTGATTACCAGTTTAAACAATACAACATCATTGTGTATTTAATAATTCAAATGAAGTACTCTATATCACGGTATCATATTAAACTGATAGTAATTAGTCACTTCTTTTCTTGTACACTAATTACTTTAAATTAATAGATTTTTGGGTGGACTTTGATTGGGCAACTATTGAGAACAGAAAAACACTGATCAGTTGCATCGTTCTAATAGGAGATCCTTCAGAAATCGGACCCCAGTACCTTTAAGCCTCATGGTGAACGTCTAACCACTGAAGTGACATCCAATATTATACACTAGTTTGAACTAATTCATCATATTATTCGACCCCCTCCATTGGCATTGGTGATATTTTTCTGATGTCGGACATGATTGAACTCCACTGATCATGACTTCTCATTAGAACTCGAACAGTCATCTCTCAAACTTACTCACCGTTGAGTCAGTTATGAGAATAAGACAACTGTTCAGTAATTAGCTAGTTGAAATCAATTCAAGATATGAAATTTCTAATTCAACTATCTTATTATACTCTATAATAACAGTATATATATTGCTGATACAAATTCAATGAAAACCTACATTCATTTAAATCATAAGCACAATACTAAGAGTTATGTAATTCAATGTTTCGTTTTTGAGTAATCTATCTGAAAATTGAATCATTTTCATAATTAACATCATATGATGATAATATTATATGCATAGTATACACAAGTATACACATACTATGTTGCCTTCATTATCTGTTTAAGGTTTAGTGTATATTCTCTTCTAATCTCTATGATTTATACAATCATATTACTTATATTAATTCGATGATCATGATCGTAAATGTTCAGCGGTATGCGTCAAAGTGTAGTGTATACACATGATTATTAGTTATTATATATACAAATATTATGATTTGTATAGAAAAGATAAAATGTAGGATGTATGGTTTCGTTCTGTTTGGGATTCGTCACCTGGGTGTACTTATATCCCAGAGTCGATGTACATTCCACGATTCAAACCCTAATACCTCTCGTTCTAAAATTGATCTAATTTCAGTCGAAGATATCAACAATGGGATAATCGCAAATTATTACGAGCTAAATTGAAATTCATACTTCTTGCACAAGTGAATAGTCAATTTGTCTTAGTAGCTAAGGGGAAAGGTACTGGGTTCGAGTCCCGTTTATAAGATTGACGCATATAAAGATACATCTATTCTAAGGAGGAAATGTACCTCATAGATTACATTGATAGGTACAATTCAACCAACGGTTGATAAAGTTCTGTGATATGATTCAATATCGTCTACAGTAACTCAGATCTATTCACTCTTTATCTTCTCTTAGATTTAGAGTTTAGAAATGATCGTATAGTTTTTGTCCTGTAAGTTTATCCTTTCTTTTTCGAATCATATTATCTATGCCAATTGTTTTCTACTACCACTGATACTGTTACTACTTATGCTACTCTGACATTTATCTTGATAATTTTATCTCCTTGTATTGATATGGTGCGGGAATCGATGCATATATATATGTCACGTTCTATGTGATTAACTAATCTGAATGCTTACTTGGATGCTGAATCAGTGGTCTAGAGATGAAGCGTTCGTGCGCGAGACCAAAGTTCCTCGGCTCGAATTCCGTGTGCGGGATTGTGGATGAGCACTGTTGAGGAGTCCCACGATATGACGAAACGGCCGTCTAGTGGTTCTAGGTTTTCAATGGTGATCTAACATCAAACGGTTAATGATCTCGATCAAAACTTAATAATCTCCACAGCCCTATAATCCTTCATATTTTACTAAAATGGATCTTGACAAACTAGAGCATGATATTTAAATGTAACTGTACGTAGTTGTTTTGAGATCAAATGTTTATGGTACTGATAGATTGATTATACATGATAAAAACAGGCTGGCACAATTTCAGCAGTGATTGTCAACCAGTTTCTAGCTTACAATCTAATCATGAAGCTTAGATCCCACTCCTCTTATTCATCAGATTTATTCAATTGAATATTATTGATTACTGAAATACTCTACGACAATCAAAAGATGGTAAAATATGAAATGATTATAATTCACTTGAATACCCTGAAGTTTATGAAATTAAAGACGTGTACTCACTTGGTGTTGTTATACTTGTATCTTCCCATTGTTATTTATGACTGCAATTGATGCCTTGATGTTGCGTGATGTCACAAGCTTTATAAGCAAATGTGGATAGTGGTTATCAGTGGAATCCAGGATGCACACTTCATCCTATTTGGGACTCGTCAGCTGGATGTACCTGCATCTGATTTGGTGTTCACTCTGGGACTTGAATCCAGTTTCGTTCATTTTAAACGCCATCGCGTTATCCATCGCACAGGCAGGTGGATAGCAGGACTTAGTAGCTAAGTGGATAATGCGATGACGTTTGAAGCGAAAGGTATTGAGTTCGAGTCCCAGAGTGAACATCAACTCTGAGACGCAGGTATATCCATCTGACAAGTCCCGAATAGGACGAAACGCACATCTTGGATTTCACTGCTAGCCAATATCCATCTCTAATTAAAGACGTGTTCTAAACAATGATAATGGAGATTGCGCAAGTAAAAAAATTATTTCCAAGAGCATTATCCATCTTTCAGCTCGTATAGATAATGAAAATTCACAATCAACTGATCAGTAACAATTTTTATTTGTCTATTATCTTAGTAAGGATTAAATCCTGTCTATTAAGTTATATTATAGTCAGTATTCTGAATGAATTAACATCTTATTCACTATGTTGAGATATAAGGTATCTGGTGTTAGTCTTAACCTCGGTTAACTAGCATAAGCCACCACTAAAGCTTACCAGTAATCTTGATGGAACTGATAACTTTTATTACATTCAAACCATTCTGAACCCAGATTTACAGTGTAAGATTAGGCTGACTATTTATTAGTAACGTCTCAGTCTATGACGCTGGGTGACGCTGCCTCAAATACTACAAGGAGTATAAATTCCTCAGAATTACAGGTACACTTTACTGACGAATATTAACTGTCACAAAACTTAGATCAAGAAGAGTTTCCTCCAATAACCTCCAACAGCTTGACAGTTGCATTTTTTTAGTATTTGAGATCATGAGTCAATTAAATCGAGAGCATCATGGTAAACTTGGAAGTATTGGATGGGTGTTTCGTCCTATTGTGTGACTCCTCAGTGGCAGTTTGCATCCACGATCCTGACTCGCGAGATTCGAACTCAATGACTATCGGTTTTTACATTTTT